AGGGAGTTCCTGGACCAAGGGGGAGAAAATGGAGTCCAGATAGGTGGAGATAAGTTCGGTAGGGCAGGAGCAGGCGGAGACAATGTGTCGACCAGGACAGTCAGGTTTGTAGATTTTGGGAAGGAGATAGAACCAGGCAGTGCAGGGTTGGGGAACGATGAGGTTGGAGGCGGTGGGTGGGAGGCCACCTGAAATGATGAGGTTGTGGATGGTTTGGGAGATGGTGGTTTGGTGGTCGGGGTGGGGTCATGATCAAGGGGGCGGTAGGAGGAGGAGAGTTGGCGTCTGACCTCGGCGATGTAGAGGTCAGTGTGCCATACTACAACTGCGCCTCCCTTGTCTGCGGGTTTTATGGTGAGGTTGGGATTGGAGCGGAGGGAGCGGAGGGCTGCACTATCAGAAGACATTTAACAGCCTGAAAGCTGTGTTACCCACTGCCCCAGTGCTAGCCACATCTGATTAGACAAGGCCATTCAAGTTAGTTCTTAATGCGACTGATGCGGGTGTTGGTGCTGTACACTTACAAGAAGACGACGCAAAGATAGAAAGCTCTATGGGGTATTTTTCTTGAAAGTTGAATACTCATCAACAGATATATTGAGAAGAAGACCTTGAGCTTTGTGTTGGCATTGCAACATTTCAACATTTATATTGCTAGTAATGTGTCTGAGACAATTGTATATACTGATCATAGCCCATGAAAGTTTTTGGAGAAATTTAAGGACAAAAATTTCAGACTGTTTAGATGGAGTTTATTATTGCAGCCATTCAATTTGAAAATTATACGCATGGCAGGATGAGAAAACATAATTTCTGACGCAGTCGCAACTTGGATGAAGAAAGATGGAGGTGTTTGGTAGCAGGAGTAAATGGACCAAAATAGAATGTACTAGTGACTGTTTCCATGCTTACAGTAAATGTCGTGTATATGTACTGTAGTGTACTAATAAAGTAAGATTAAGGTGTTTAAAATGAAGCCATCTTTGCATATTGATGGTTCTTTTTTTTTAAAGAGGGTAGATGTGACGGTGCTGTTGCTTTAAAAAGGATATTTTGTCCTGGGATTTTTTGAAGAGAGGTTGTAAAGACCGAGGTACTGAAGCGGCAACGGAAACAGCCTAAGTCAACAATCAAAGGTTGTAACACTGAAAGGGCAGTGGCCAGTTCACACAGATCAAGCTTCCTAGTTTTTTTAGCTGGAGCAGTCAGAAGCTGTTTGAGTTCCAGAGGAGTTGGAGCTTCGGTAAAATGATTCCTAGCTGCTACATTCTCTGAAATGTCACTTGATGTTATTTCCTCCCGGATTGGAAAATTGCCTGGAAGGATCTGTTTCTGACTTTAGCCTTTTGCAAGGGTATGTTTATGGGATGTTACTATACTGGAACAGTTAATTAGTAATAGGTACTACATCTATTATTCGGCTAAGTCTTCTAATAGTTGAGTTTTCTAAATTCCTCTATCTTTTGTTTGTATTTTAACTATAGTGTTTAAATAAATTGTATTTTGCTTAACATCGAGTGGTTTGACTGTTACATCACATCTGGTACACGCATTTCACATCTGCCTTTAAAAATAAGAACAAGTTAGTGTGTAGGCTACCTCCTTAAAATATTTTAAGGGAGTCTGGTCTGGTTCATGACAATACTCTTTGCTTCATTATGGTATGACAAGTGTTCTCACCAACGAGTCCCGCTTGAAATTAATAGCTCCACACCAAACACGAACTAGTTCACCATCCTGGCCAATTTTTCCACTTTATTAATGGTATGATTCACTGTTGTTGTTGTGTATGATTTACTGGCGTGTTTCACAACATGATGAATAAACTGATTCATAAGGCCAGCACAGATTGCACATTCTGTTCTTCCAGTTGTTTAGATGAAACTTATTATTGCAGCCATCCAATTTAAAAATTATACACATAGCAGGATGAGAAAACATAATTGCCAACGCAGTTGCAACTTGGATGAAGAAAGATGGAGGCGTTCGGTGGCAGGAGTAAGTGGACCAAAACAGAATGTAGTAGCGAACCACCCTCTGTGTAAAAAATTTGCCCCTCATGTCTTTTTGAAATCACTCTCCTCTCACCTGAACAGAACAAATAGCTAAATTGTACTTTTGACACACATTTAAACACTAAACCATTGGGAAAGAACAATTTAACCATTTTATTCATTCTAATTCCAATGCAATTCCACAAGTCATTTGTAATTGAGAGAAAAAAAACAATTTGAATCATATGAGATTAAACCAAAGTTTAATCCTCATTATTAATGTTGTTAATTATTGTTTAAGCTAAGGTAAACAAGTGGGGAACATTGATTAAATCCCTCATGCACACGTAAATAGATACTGCTGGGAAAATGGGTTTAGTAGGCAGGGACAGACTTACGTAATGCTGCAATAAACAGAAATTGAAATTGCTGGAGAAACTCAGCAGGTCTGGCAGCATCTGTGGAGAGGAAGCAGAGTAATAGTTTGAGTTCAGCGACCCTTCTTCAGAAGCTACCAAGGGTAATGCTGCATTCTGTAAATATACTAAATATCAAGATTGTGACTTGCATTTACTTCCATACATCGCCTCCGTTTACAAAATTCACACACAGGTGATGAGGACGGGTGAGGTGCATGAAAATGAAGGTTTGAGTTATAAAGAATAGGCTGGGACTTTTTACCTGGAACATAGGAGGTTGAGAGGCAATGTTATAGAAGTTCATTAAATAATAAGGGGTATTGATAGAGTTAATGGCAGTTGTCTTTTCCCTAGGATGGGGGAGCTCAAAACAAGGGAGCACTTTTTTTAAGGTGAGAGGAGAGTGATTTCAAAAAGACATGAGGGGCAAATCTTTTACACAGAGGGTGGTTTGTCATGTGGAATGAACTTCCTGAGGAAGTGATAGATGTGGGTGCAGTTACAATGTTTAACAGACATTTGGATACACACATGAATAGGAAAGGTTTGGAGGAATGTGGATCAGGAGCAGGCAGGTGGGACTAGTTTAGTTTGGGATTATGTTCAGCATGGACTGGTTGGACCGAAGGGTCTGCTTCCGTGCTGTATGACTCTGACTCTATGATCACTTTCAGTAATCCAGTGAGGACTTAAATTCGATTGTGGTGCTCTACCAGGATCACACACCTCCCGTGTGACTAAACAAATGACTGGCAACATTGTGGACCTGCTTGAAGAGCTCCCACTGTACTGAGTTTCGACATGGTGTCCATTTCAAGGATGTGAGACAATGTTTCAATAGCTGGAGAACATGTCAGATCTGAAAGCAACTTCCACCCTAACAGTGGCTATGGGTACCAATGGAGATGAGAAAATGCAATATAACAGATCAAATTAAACACTGCGTCAGAATAAATGGACAGTTTATATAAAAATTGTATTCATTTCACTGGAGGATGAGCAGGGAGGAAATAAATATCACTTTTGATTTCCTTTCTTTGTTCTCAGGTTTCCTGGCTGGACCTCAATGTTTATAACGTGATGATAATCCTCAGTAAAGCAGATAGCAGTTCATCATCTATCTGGGGACAGGAAGAAATTGGGTCAGGCTTCATTGCATGTTGATAAGAGTGTCAATGCTAACTACCTGGTTGCGCCCCGTGAAAAAAAAAGAAAATTCAATCTTTTGCACCAGCAGGCAGCCATCAGACCAAATTGAAGCAGCATCGTAAAATTATCCAGCATGGAAACTGCTGATGGGGAAAGAAATAGTCTTGGGGGAAGAAAGGCAATTGTGAATTTTTAAAAGAAACTTTCTCTCTTTGGGACTAATCAGTGATATAGCCTGCAGAGGAGAGTGACATTCTGCTGACATTAGAGTTTATCAGCTCTCTCTACTTTCCTTTAATTATTTTTGATGCCCCGCAAAAAATAAATAGCTTTTCCTTGCACTGCTTTTTGCGACTCAAGCAAAGAGGATTTTAAGGTGTGAAAGTGCCATTTCTCAAGGCTTTCTTAAAGGGAGAGCAACTTTCTCACCATCTTTTACAAGATTACGGAAATGGCCCATTCCTTGTTTAACACATCCCCTGCCTACCCTACTCTGTTCTATTTTCTTCCTTGCCATATCCTCCAATGTTTTTTGGAGGGCCACGATTGTTTGGAACTCTCCTCCTGATAAGGTGATGGAAACTTGATGGAGTCTTTGCACATTATTAATGCAGATGTAGGAAGATTCTTCATAAGTAAGGGGTTACAGCTAGATAGAATTGTGGAGTGATCAGATCAGCCATGATCTTGTTGATTGAATGAGCAGGTTCCAGGAGCTAAGGGGCCTACTCCTACTCCGCACAAATTGTTCATAGGCTCAACAAGTGCAGTGAAGCCAAATGTGCTCCTATAGAACAGTGTTTTCTAATGTCCCACCTCCATTTACAGGAGACATTGTTATTTATGAATTACTTCTGCTGAGACCCTATCCTGAGTTTTCAAACTTATGGGGAGGCAATAGCATAGTGGTATTATCGCTAGATTGTTAATCCAGAGCCAAGATAATGTTCTGCGTTTGAGTCCTGCCACAGCAGATGGTGGAATTAGAATTCAATAAATATTTGGAATTAAGAATCTAGTGATAACCATGAATTCATTGCCGATTGTCTGGAAAAACCCATCTGGTTTACTAATGTCCTTTAGGGAAGGAAACTGCCATCCTTACCAGGCCTGGTCTACATGTGACTCCAGACCCACAGCAATGTGGTTGACTCTTAACTGCCTTCTAGGCAATTAGGGATGGGCAATAAATGCTGCCTGAAAGTGATGCCCTCATCCCATGAATGAATAAAGGAAACCTTTCCGGGGCTGACGGAGATTGGGGATGTGCATGGGAGATGGGGCATGGTGATATCCTGTCTCTATTACTGTCCCTGGGACTTATCTTGCAGTTGAAGATCACGATCAGGAGATAAATACCTGCCTACTCACACAGGTAGCTGATTGTGAATGAGCCTAATTGAATTTTTCATTCAGCCTCCATCAGGTTCCCTTGAGAGCTACGGGGTAACTTGAAGGTGGGCACCAGCAGAAGATCAAGGTCACAAGAACGCCAGGTAGACTTAACTTTAATCACTTAACTTTAATCCTTTTGAAATTGATATAAAAATATTTTAAATATTTTTGACTGTACAATACTTAAATTACATGCTGAACTCAATAAGTTACATTTTAGAGTAGAATACCAACTACAAAATATCTAATGGCTCGGAGACCACTTTGTAGAGCATGTGCACTCAGTTCATGACAAACGACAACACCTCCCAGCCATGAACCACTTCAACTCCCCCTCCCACTCCCTGGGTGACATGTCCATCCTGGGCCTCCTCCAGTGTCACAACGATGCCACCCGGAAACTGGAAGAGCAGCGCCTCATATTCTGCCTTGGAGCCTACAACCCAATGGTCTCAATGTGGATTATACTAGCTTCAAAATCTCCCACCCCCGGCTCGTCCCATGACTAACCCTCCCTCTCATCCCCGCCTCCTTGACTTGTCCATCTTCCCTCCCACCTATCCGCTCCTCCCACCTCACTGACGAATCCCCACAACTGCCTACCTGCACTCACCTATCACCATCCCACCTACCTTCCCCAGCCCCAACCCTCCTCTCTCTATTTATTTCAGAGCTCCCTTCCCCCTCCCCCATTTCTGAAGAAGGGTCCCGACCCGAAATGTCAGCTTTCCTGCTCCTCTGATGCTGCCTGGCCTGCTGTGTTCATTCAGCTCCACACGGTGTTATCCAAAACATCTGACCACCTTTTGGTGCCAACACATCCTGCAATCTGTATGGACAACAAATTGTTGAGGGCCCACAAATCCTGCTCAGCTGGGTATACTCCGCATGACTCATACCATTCACCTTCCTCACTCCCAGACTGGATCTGTCGGAAATGGCGGGGATGCAGCATTTCTGCAATTGGGCCCTGCGCGCCATTTTTAAGGACCTACAGAGGCTGACCAACTCTGTGGAAATTCAGGCCTCATTCTTTTACCTACCCCAATATGGCAGCCATCACATTGCCTCCTAATGTAGGTACACCTAATGTGGTACTACACTGGAGGCTTAGGCACTCAAAAAATGGGCAGAGAGGGAAACATAGCAGTAAAAGAATACAGTAATACTTGGAAATGAACATACTGGTCCTCTATTTTGAATTATATAAGAAGAGTCAGACCAGTGTGTGTCATTCACAAGTTTTATTGGTTTTTCCCTTCTCTGTAGGCCCTATGCGTACAAATTACAGACTATGTTGACCACACTGTGGAGAAACAAAATATAGAGTATGTTCTGGTGGCATGGTAACTCTCCAATAGTATCGATGTGAATAGTCCATATAAAATCAAACAAATGTGTTGGCTAGCAGAAATTAATCAACACAGGAAGGGGCTTTGCATTTGGTCTCAACCAATGCAGTATTGTCCTTCTGTTTTGAGGTATATTAAAAAAATTAATTAGCAGCACAGCACTGGGCCTAACAGGAGGCTCCGACAGGCCAGACTTGAGAAAAGAGCAGAGAACAGCCAGTGACTCCTTGCTTCTTTTGTTTTGATCAACTTGTGCCAAGAGAAATAAATCAGTCAGTGTTTCTGTACCTGATTGCTCCCCAAGGAATCCTGTCTTGTGTGTGGAGGTTGGGCAAGGTCAGCACTTAGCTCACTTCTGTTGTCTTCCCAGTGGCCAAAGGTTTGGACACTTGGCCATGAAGGACTGTTTTGCTGTACACCTATGCTCTGACTGAGCTTCCAGTGCCTGCCACTTCAACACACCTCCATGTTGACACTTCATTCTCAGACCTGCTGCAGTGCTCCAGCGATTGGAGGAACAACACCTCAACTTCCAATTAGGTACCTTACGGCCTTCAGGACTCAACATTGAGTTTAACAATTTCAGAATGCGAACACCATCCTTCTATATTTGTAATGTCCCCCTGCACCCCTAGGGTCATGTTGTTTATGGGTTGCTCCAACCCCTTTTCAACAATTTACACTTCTCAATAGCACCCTACCAAGCATTTATCTCTCTTGGCTTATCATCAGCAATCTCTTTGTTTGCCAGTCCCTTTTTTATTCTCTCTCTCTGTACCCTGTTTCCATATACTCTATTCAATATCAGCATAAGTCTCACCTTTTGCCAGCTATTTGCAGTTCTGAAGAAGGGTCACTAGACTCGAACCATTTTTTTCTCTCCACAGATGCTGCCAGTCCTGCTGAGTTTCCCCAGCAATTTCTGTTGTTGTTTCAGATTTTCGGTATCCACAATTCTTCGTTTTTATTATGAAGGAAAGTCTTTTCCGATTGTTAGACCGAAGAGGAAGGGAGATGCAGTATTTGTGGAGTTCTTTTCCGTATAAGAAGGGAAGGGGGGAGAGGTGTGAGAGAAAACACATGAAGAAAAGATACTTTTGCAATCCTCATTTGCTTTCAAAAAAAAACAATAAAACTTGTGAAGGATTGACACTGGTCCAATTTACCTTGTATGTTTCACAATGGAAGACCAGTATACCATTTTCTATTTCTGAGTTCTTACTGTTCTTTTCCCCTCTAGGCTATCAGACAGAAACATAAAATGCTAAGAAAAAAATACAACTGTGAAAGGATTATCTCAATAACTGGAGATTGGAATAAGCTGAATGTGTCTGCATTTCTTTCCATTCATTGCATGTCACCAGATTAAAAGAGAAATTGCTGTTATAATTCTGAAACTAGTGCTCAACCCTATTTTAACAGTGCGCTTAATGTCTGGGCTATATCCTGGTTCCATTATCCCTATTTTATAGTTTTACTCTGCTTTACGAGGAGAGAGCACCAGCCCGGCAATAAATTGGAACATTCTCCAAATGTCCCACAGTTCATAATGTAGTTCGATCTGCGCTCTCCCCCTCAAAACTCTACTGCCTCTCCTTGCCACATCCTCTCAGTTGCCGGGTTCACCATAGAAACAATATTGTTTAAACTGTCATCAGGCTATTTGCACATGTGGTTGAATTCTACGGTGGTACTCACAGGCTATTCAATTTTAAAAGAAATTTCAGTCGACCTATTGAAAACAAAAATGAGGAATTTACGGTTTATAATCACTTAATGGTTCCTAGTGACTGATGCATACTATAAGTACTGCCATCAGGGTTTTTACATTCTGGAGCATCTAGCATATATTACTTGCTTAGAAGCAAAAAGGCAAACTAGTTAACGATAAGACCATAAAACATGGAAGCAGAAGTAGACCATTCAGCCCATCGAATCTGCTCTGCCATTCAATGAGATCATGGCTAATCTGATAATGCTCAACTCCATTTACCTGCTTTTACCCTATAATGCTTTATTCCCTTACTGATCAAAAATCTAATAAAAACCGAAAGAACTGCAAATGCTGTAAATCAGGAACAAAAACAAAGTTGCTGTAAAAGCTCAGCAGGTCTGGCAGTATCTGTGAAGGAAAAAACAGAGTTAATGTTTCAGGTCCAGTGGTCTCAGCCTTGAATATACATCATATTCAGAGCAAAAGATATTATGTATACCAGTGATATTGCTGTCCTTACTTAAAGGTTGATCACTGTTAAAAATGAAGAAAAAATCTCAAAAATGGTTAGGAATCTAAAATAAATAACAGGAAAGACATTATAGATCAACCAGCATCTAATTAACAGAGCAAAATGGGTATAAATGGGTTAACTACGATGGATACACCTTACTGGGGCTGAGAATCAGGAAATTCCTCATACCAAGATGTAGACTCAGTATTTGGCTAATAACACATAAATCCTGGGATTATTAAGAACAGACAAATGTCAGGCCAAATGAACAACATCTTTCAATGTGCACCATTACTTTAGACTTTTATTTTGCACCATTATGTTCAGAAAATCTTTTTGTACCTTAACTGGAAGGGTGGCAGAGGCAGAAAACCTCATAAGATTTAAGAACAAGTTAGATGTTGCGATGCCAGGGCACAGAAGACTACAGGCCAAGTATTGGAAAATGGGCTTAGAATAGATTGGTGGTTGTTTTTGACTGGCACAGACTTGATAGGGGCCGAAGTGACATTCTGTGTGCTTGTAAACCTCTATGACTCAATGTCTCTATAACTGTCTCAAGGTTTGAGATGACAATAAAGGAGAACATAAGAGCAACAGGATATCTAGGATCTTAGCGAGCAATTGGGACGACAATCTATCTGCTTAACCCATGAGTTCAGTACCACAAACAAAACATAAGAATAAGGACAAATAGGATTATTTGGCATGAAAAGTGGGTCAGAAAGAGAAATAAGTAGAAAGAGAGGAAAATTGGATTAAGCGAGAGAGGGTATAACACAGAAAGGAGAAAGTGTAAACATTTAAAAATTTACATTTGAGTATTGCTGAGAAAGGTATACTTGATCAAATAAAAACCGAAAGAACTGTGGATGCTGTAAATCAGGAGCAAAAACACAAGTTGCTGGAAAAGCTCAGCAGGTCTTGCAGCATCTGTGAAGAAAAAGTCAGAGTTAATGTTTTGGGTCCGGTGACCCTTCCTCAGAACTGGACCGGAAATGTTAACTCTGATTTTTTTCTTCACAGATGCTGCCGGACCTGCTGAGCTTTTCCAGCAACTTCTGTTTTTGTATAGCTCGTCAAAGTCTTTTATCTTGCACTCATCAAGATTTTTCACAAGAATACACATATATATTTATAAAATCTCTACGAACAATTCAGTTTTTCATGGTAAGAGTCCATAACTTTCAGTTAGATCGGAATATAGGAACAGGAATAGGCCATTCAGCCCCTCAAGCCTGCAATGTCATTCAATAAGATTGGGGCTGATCTGTGGTCTAACGCTATATGCTGCCTTGGGCCCATATCCCATGATCCTTTGCTTAATAAAAATTTGTCTATCTCAGATTTAAATTTAATAATTGAATTAACATCGACCACCATTTGAGGAAGAGAGTTTCAAGTTTCTACTACGCTTTGTGCAAAGAAATGCTTTCACTGCTGAATGGCCTGGCCCCAATTCTGAGACTATGTCCCTGTTTCTAGAATCTTCAGGCAGTGGAAATAGTTTATGTTTATCTG